CAAATGGCTATCTGCAATCTCTATTTCATCCTTTGTTCGTAGATAGTGTGAGATGAGGATCTTCAGGACAAATTTTATAAGTTTGATTGGATTTAGACTAGCCCGAATAGTAGTTTTAAAACGTGATAACTTGGAAGTAAGCATGTCTTCAGCACCCAAGAAAGCTCCAGATGCAACAATGAGATCAACTTTGGCTTTAATCTGTGAAAGATATTGAACAATAGTTTTAATTCCCATAAAAATGTGATGAAGATCATTTTCTAGTTGAATGACAGGTGCACGGTTGATGAATTGTAATCGGTGTTCAAAGCCGAACCAAATTTCAGCACAAGAGTCCATATTGAGGATATATGAAAGAATATTGGGGTGGCATGAAGCATGAGGATTAAGAGAAGATCCAGATGAGGAGCCATGAGTGTTGCGGCTCCTGTAGAGAGTACCCAAAATTCTGAGGGGGGTGTCATTGGTTGTTGTGAGGACAGTGTAATGAGGTGTGGAGTTGGTTTGTATTGAAGGTTAGCTCGATGTCAGCCTTGTGCTACTGAGTGGCCAGCTTTGAGCCGGATTTGGCAAGTTACCGGATGTGTGGCTTTGTTTGGGTTGGATTGGTATCGGGTTTGGTTGCTTTGGTTCTTTGGGTTGTGTTTGTGGGTGTTTTGATTTTGATCGGTTGTTTGATGAGGTTTTGCTTTGTTTGTGTAAGGGATTGTGGTGAGTTGTCACAGGCGTCAGCGTGTCAGAGTTCCTAGGAGTTGGTGGATTACACCAGTTGGGTATCTATTCTCAGGATATACCTTGGGGAGAAATCCCATCGCATATGCGCTAAGACGCAGCGAGTATCCAATGGAAGGTGCTCCATCTTCTCTTCGCAACGTCATTGAAACCGCTCCTGTCAGTCGCGCCTTTAGATCGAGCCAGTCAGGACATCCTGGGGGCCATCACGCTAGCTTACCAAAAAAGATGCATATACAGTTGTCGAGGCAGTTCACAATTTCATACCTTCGTAGCCTAAAATCAATTTGAGTACCGGAGCGGGAAAAACATTGCTGACTCAGCGATAAACTAATGTCTCAACAGGGGAATCACCTTGGAAAACAAAAGAAGTAGTGGAAGGGGGGCTGTGGTGGGTTCGATTCTCATTGATGGCACCGCAGGAGAGGTTTTCATTTCAGACGTATGCTGCATGCAATTCGATGCATTTTCCAATCCGGATAAAAAAATCCACAGTTGTGGCCTGGTCTCCTTCGAGATTTTTTGACGTATGCAGTCATCGAGTACTGTAAGCCGGTTGCACGGGAGGAAAAAGAAGAGGAGGCGCTAGAATAGAGGTCGAAGAGCAACAACGGATCCAAGACTTCGACGAAGAGGCACGTAGTGTTATGCGTGCTCACCTAGACAAGAGAGAGGAGGAAGTCAAGCCCTATCTCAGTAATGCTATGGTATAGCACCCCACTCAAATCATACGGTGACAGGAACACTAAATTTGACCACCGCTTCGCCAATATCGCTCTTTAGAATAGATCCTCTGGGGCATACGAGGATTCGTTCGCTGTCTTCGGCATTCAAGATGGATGCTTTTGGTTGTCAGGTTTGATTCCTCACTGTGAATCAGAGAGTACAAGTTTTCAAAATTGATGGGATTTAATTGTGTGCGTATAACAATCTTGAAGCCTTGATTTTGGGGTGATAAGCCATTTAGTGTGTGAGAATGATGTCTTCCGTGTCAATCGTAGAACCTACAGTGGCAATATTATCAATCAGATATTGTGATATTGTGTTGCTTCCAATCGTGATGTTGTGTGGCTCGTTCTTCAATTGCATAACTCTGGATCCGCTCACTGATTAAAGTTTCCTTTCTAGTGTTGACTGGATGCATGATGTGCTTTGAAGGTTTAGAATGTATGGTAGAATTGAGATTGCGATGGTTGATAAGATTGTTGTTATGAGGCTCTGGTCGACTGGTTTCCATATTTTGAAAGATGGGTTTTCTTCAATGTTGTCGGATCCCTCCCCCCCGCTCCTGCTCCTTTCACGTTTCGCGAATCAGCGTCATCGCTCCCTCTGACGCGAAACATCGTGACTTCCGCCTCTAGCTCCCGCTCAACTGTTCCCTCCATCGGCCTCCTCTCGCGATAAAAGGTATCGCGCGGCTCTCCTTCAGATTACACAGCCGGCCCTTTTGTGTTCTTCTTCGGCAGTTTTGCTTCCTCGGAATAGAGGAAGAGAAGTGCAAGGAGTAGTTCCTTGAGGCAGAAGGAAGAAGAAAGAATAAGAAAAAGATTGTTCTCTCTTGACTTCTTCTTGGTAGCTTGTGGCAGAAGAGAAATTGGATTTATTTCTCATGTAAATTTATCTTCTTTGGTGTATCTCGGTGTACGGAGAGAAGAAGAGAGAGGAAGTGAGAGATCCCTCTTGTAAGTCGAGACGATCGACTGGTGTAAATTTCTCAAGTAGTAAAATCCTCTGCAACTCCGTGGACGTAGGCAATTTGCCGAACCACGTAAATCTGTGTGTTTCGTTGTGTTACTGTTTTCTAGCGTGAATTTTCTCGTTCTATTTTTTTACTTCGTCAAAGATCTTTCTTCTATTTTATTTATATATACCACAACACCCTTTCGTATGAATTGAGGCAGAGTGGTGATTTCTTTGCAAGAAATTCTTCGAATCTATTGGCTATAAACAGTTTATGTATATGAGTTCTCCATACCCGATAATTATAATATTGCAGATGTGATTTGGATATTATTTTGATGTGAGACATCAGAAACTTTAGTGGTGCTATTATGTCAATTTCCTCCATTCGGTTTAACAACATAATGGAGTACTGGCTTGATCTGACTGTAGAGGAGCTTGGTAAATCCATAGATTACTTGTTGTGAAGCTGCTGTTCTGATACCATGATAAATGACGCAGAGCCTGCAAAACTATGAAGCTTCTCAGATAAATATTGTTTCATCTTTACATACCTCTTACCCTCTTTCTATTACATTTTGATCCATCTCTTTCTCTCTTCATTCCCCCATTCTGACCTAGAGTTTTCTTTTTTATAGAAACACAAGGAGAAGGCTCGACCTAGAGCTACAGTAAAAATGGTGAGAAATGAAAGTGTGCTTGGAATGCTGAAGGAGCAGGGAGGCAAACTCCACTCTCCTAGTAGATGCCGTGAGCCTATGTGTGGGGACCATGTGGGTGTGTCTCTGTTTAGAGTGTAGGTGTTCAGTGGGAAGTGGTGAAGATGGGATTCGAGAAAGGGCAAAGGATAGTGTTTTTGTTAGAAGGTAGGGAAGATGTAGGGAACGTATTATTGCAGTTGGGATGACTTGAATGTGAGCAAGAGTTTAGGATAAGAATTAGAGGGGTTGTAGAGGAGGTAGGGAGAGTTTAAAGTGATGAAGTAGCTATTTGATAGAGACCTTGGTGGCTCATCCCTTAAGAAGAGTTTGTTTGGTGATTTGAACCTTGATCTGGTAGCCAACATAGTCAAAATGACGCATTTCTTAGTAGCTGCCAATTTATGAACTAACAAAAGATTGTGTGATAGATTTGGAATATGGAGCAAGGGAGATAAGTGAAACTTACGGTTAAGTATTCCTTGCATGGTGTGAGAAGTTGGAAGAGAGTTACCATTACTTACTGTGACCTGCACAGATCTAGTATATGCAGTTGGTTAATGCAGTTTGGTGTGGTTAGGGGTGAGGTGAGAAAAAGCTCCAGTGTCAAGAATCCAATAATCTGATGTTGGCACTACAACAAGAGCAACAGAAGAGTTGGCGGGGTTGTTAGGAAATAATCCAAATTAGATCGGTGCCAACACACAAAGGTATCTAAAATTAGGCATGTTTGATAAGAAATAGAATCTGAAAAGATAAATTACTTAAGGATTTCATTTAATTAGTTATCTACTTAACTGGTCAGGGGTCCCCTTGGCATCAAGTAAAGTTCTAATAGAATCATTATAGATTTGTCATGAACAATTTTTTATTAAGCATGAATCTCAATATATTTTTTATAAAGAATCTTCTAAATTCAAATTTAAGGTCACCGGAGCCCTGATTTCAACAATTTTATAGTTAATCTAAATGTCTCAACAAGACATATCCAATGTGTCAAAATTTGTTCAATCTGAGTTCAATCAAGCCCAGATCAAACTGTTGAAGCACACCTGAAAGTTTTGGATCATCAGTTGGATGGCAAAATGAACTCCAAATTTGACATGTTTATTGTCAAATTGAATGCCTCAAGGAGAGGAATCCAACAAGTCCAAGATCGCTAAATTGTGAGGTCATTAAGGTACCCGAATCCTTAATTAACCACCTATGATCAAGGGGGCTTAACATGGACCTTCTAATTAGGTGGCTAGGGAAGTCACGCGCAAAAAAAAATCAAAATGTTTTTTCCCCAAAAAGTTATAAATATGCCCCCTCTATTCACTTGGGAGAGAAGGAGAAGAGGAGAAGGAGAAACGAAATTTCAAAGTCAGTTATGCATAGAAAACTAGGCAAGTAACCACCTACCTCCGAGCCGACCACTGCCCCTCGATCACAGTGGAACACTGTCAATTGACCGTTGTCAACCACCATCAGCTATCACTGTCTGTCGTCGCCGGCGACCACCAACTACTGACACCACTGCTTGCAACTGTTGTAGTGAGAATACAATTGTTGTATCTAACACGTATTTTTTTTCTATGTTCTTAAAGACAAGTGTAATTTTCAATGTAAGACAATAACCTCGTTTGTCTCAGTCGTGAGAGAATGGTGCACTCCTATACTTACAAACAAATAGCTGATTGTTTTTACTCAATTAGGCATCATGGTCTTTTTCCTTATTGATTTTTCCATGTAAAAAATATGTTCTCCTACTATAACTTTCTTTTAATTTTGTAAGTATTGAATTTTTGTGCAACGCTAAAACATTAGATTATCACTCAACCCTGAGAATTTTTTGGCACACAACAATTGTAAAGAAAACTTCATTATTGCCGCAAAAATAAAGCGCACCTATTCTTTTCACTGAAACCCAGTTATCAACTGCTTGTAAGTTGGAATATCTGGCTTAAGCCCTAATTTCAGCATCTCGTCATGGAGATTCATTGCTTTCCTCAGCTCCTTTTCATGGCAAAGTGCACTAATCATCATCACAAAACTAAAACTACTCAACAAATTATTCTTTCTCATACAGTCAAAAACTCCAATGGCTTCCATGGCTCTTCCATGCACAACAAGAGCTTCCAGCAGAACATTATAAGAATCCACATCTAAGAATCCACCCAATCCTTTAATCTTCTCGTGCAGACCAATCGCCAAATCCAGAAACCCATTCTTACAGAAATGCTTCATCAGCAAGCAACAGCAAGAACCGTCCACCAATATGCATTTATCCAAAGCCAAATGAAGCAGTTCAGTAGCCACCTTCCACCTTCCTCTGCTACAATTTTTAGCTACATAGGTGGACAAATCGGAGGCTTTGGGCAAGGAACCATTTTTCATCAGGCTCTTTATCACTGCATCAATTTCCTCCATTGGCTCTCCGCTACAAATGCCACTCACAAAAGCATCAAGAGATAAAGGGTCCACAACAATTCCCCTTTGCGACATAATATCAAACACCTTCATGGCGTCCTTTTCTCTGCCATTTTGAGATAATGCACTTAATAGACACGTATAGGAGGTGCTTGTAAGATCAAAATTACAACTCCGAGCCTTTTCAAAGATCAACACAGCTGCAGAAGTCTTCCCGAGCTCACAAAAACTCCAGATCATCCGATCAAAATCTATGGTTGGAGCCATGGGCAGTAAATCCCTGACAACCATTTCTTTCATGAAGATACCAGAGATCTTAAAATTGCAAAATTTGCAACTTTTTTCGAGAACTGAGCTCAAAGTACTCAATCTCAACCTCAAACCCTTCTCCTCCATTCCATTCAACACCTGGATCGCTGCCCTGAAGTCTCTTCTACTAGCATAGCAATCCACAACCAAATCATAACTCGAAATACGACGGGAAAAACCTAAATTCAGCAGCATTTCAGCTCTATGAATACTACCTTCTTGACAGAGAAGCCTCACCATGATCGGCCAGCTTCCACGATCCATCTCGGCGCCAATACGCAGTGCAGCTGCACAAACCTGCCATGCCGTCCGGTTTTCACCATTCGAGCAGAGCATATTAAGCAAGGAATTCAAGCTTCGACTGCCCGGTACGAGCCCAAAATCCCTCATTCTAATGAAAGTTTCCATGGCATTCCAGGAAGGCAACTTTGAGTACAGTTCCAGTACAAAGCAGAGAACTTTGGAAAGAGAAATTTTACAAGAGGATGAGGAGCGAATGAGAGAGTCCAAAACAATTGGGGTCGGATGACAGCGGAGTGCATGGTAGAAGAGGTGGGCGGCTGGAAGGAGGTGGCCGGCGGAGGCGAGGATGGAGAAGATGGTAGCGTGGTCAGGGAGTGTGGGCGAGAACGAAAGGTGCGAGCTTGCGAAAAGGAAGAAGCGGAGAGAGATGTCGGGGTTGAAGCGGGTTGAGGTTATGATGCGGCGGATGAGGGGGGATGGGAAGGGAAGGGGAAGGAGGGAGAGTTTGGAGCGGAGGTGAGATAGAGGTTTGTTGTGGTGGAGGAGGAGGGAGGAGATATTGAAGGCGAGGGTGCGATGAGTGACGGATCTGCGCCATTTGAAGGATTTCGAAATGGGCATGCGGAGGAGAAGCAAATTTCTTTGATTTTTTTTCTCTTTTTAGGTAAACACGGGACGATGTTGAAGGATGAACGCCAAACAATGATTTAGCTAAAAAAATAGGATGATTTACATCTTATGCCTAGGTGATTTAATTGAGTAGAATACTACAAAGATTTATAATCAATTAAAAGTATTCATTAAGAAAATAAAACAAAAATTACTCAATTAGATCGAAATGATGTTTTAAATTTTGCCCTAAATATTCATTAAGAAAATAAAATAAAAATTACTAAATTAGATCGAAATGATGTTTTAAATTTTGCCCTAATCATTAACATATTATGGCTATGTGATTAAGGTTGTCAAAACAACTCTTTGTTCATGAACGGCTTGTGTTCAGCTCGCTAAGCAAACGAGCCGAACACAAACAACTTTTTTGAGCTTGAAATATAAAGGCTCTGCTCGTGTTCGGCCCATTTACACCCCTAGAGAGAGATGTTTCATTCACTAATGAATTAATTACAGGATGCTATACATACAAAAGCAAGCTACGCCTAATATAAAATAATGCAGATTAAGTATTAATTAAGCAGTAAACATGATTTCAATCAGAATCTGTATTAAAAATGAATTTGAAGCGGGTTTTGAAGTTGATGAGCAAGAGAATTAGCAGTAACCATAATATCAGGTCTTGTTAATGTGAGATAATATCTTGGCCAACTAATTGTCGATATTGAGATGGCTTGGAAATGATGGCTGAAAAATCCAATAAATATTTGGTAGAAATAGTTTGGGGAGTAGAAATAGTTTTACAGGTTGCATGCCAACTCGACGAAGTATTTCATGAACATAATTGGTCTAATTTAGGTGATAACCATAGAAGCTATGAGTAACATTTATGCCTAAAAAATATAGAGACCAAATCCATGAATTTCGTAGAAAAATATTATTGTAATTCGTGTTGGAATTGTTGCATCATATTAATATCATTGTCGGTTAGAAGAATATCATCAACATAAAATAAATGATAAAGTAGATGAGAGCTATGATGATAGATGTAAAGAGATGGGTCAGCAACTCTAAGGATGAATCCAAACTTAATTAAATTATTGGTAAACATAGTGTTCCACCATCGTGGTGCCCGTAAAAGGCCATAGATGGATTTTTTGAGAAGGCAAACATGAGAGGGGTAGGTGGAATCTTTGTAACCAGGTGGTTGATGCAAAAAAAAAACTGTTTCTTGAAGCCGGCCATGTAGAAATGCATTAGAAACGTTCATTTGGAAAAATTTTCATTGATAATAAAGAGTGATAATAAGTAAGAGCTGAATAGTGGGTATTTTTTTTGTTTCTTGAAGTCGGCCATGTAGAAATGCATTAGAGACGTTCATTTGGAAAAATTTTCATTGATAATAAGTAAGAGCTGAATAGTGGGTATTTTTTCAATGGGGCTGAAATTATCCATATAGTTGAGACCGAATTCTTGTGGATATCCCAAAGCCACTAATCGAGCTTTATATCAAGCAACAAAACCATCAGCATTGCGTTTAATTATGTATGTCCACTTGCTTCAAAGTATGGGTTGATCAATTAGAGGAGGAACTAACTTCCATGTATGTTGGTTTTGTAAGGCTTGAAATTCTTCATTTATACCATGTTGCCACTGAACATGTTTGATGGCCTGCTAATAAGTGCTCGGTTCTAGCTATAGTCATGTATCGATTAAGAATGTCCTTCTTAGAAAGAGTACATGTTTGCGTGTGTTTCACCATCAAATGCTTTGTTGGGAGAGGTTTAATAGGTGGGAGGGGGCGGTAGTGGGAATATCTAAAGTGGATTCATCGGGTGGCTTAGTAGCGAGTAGGAAGCAAAATAGTTGGGAGCTCAGTGAGAAGTAGATGGATTGGTTGAGGGGATGCAGTGCATAGTAGAAGTTGGCATGAATAGAGAAGGATTGCTGGTTTGATCAGGTCGTGAAGATGAGCTTGCGGGTAGACACATATCATTGCATGGAAAAACCAATTCTTTGAAGATGACATGTTGAGTTATGATCAGCTTATCTGTGGTTGGTTTGGGACATTTGTAGCCTTTGATATGGGGTGGATAGCCAATTAAAGCACAAGACAACGATCTTTGTTGCAAGTTATTTCTATGCATAGGCGGTATCTTTGGAAAGCATCACCAGCCGAAGATTTTGAGATGGTTGTAGTTAGGAGCGGAACCATGTAGAAGTTGTAGGAAGAGAGTTGTCTCATCACTTTGGAGAGTAATTGATGGATTAAGTATATAGCTGCATGAACTGTTTCAAACCAAAGCGAAGAAGGGGCATTGGAATCCGTCATTTGAGTCTGAGCTGTGTTTAATGCCATTTTTCTGCAGAGTGCAAGGACAACTCGATTAGTGCATAATATTGTTCTTTGTAAGGAAACTCTTAAAGGCGCTATTGGTGTACTCTCCACCATTATCTGTGCGTAGAACCTTTATTATTTGATTGAGTTGAAGTTCAACTTCTTGTTTGAACTTGAGAAACTGTTGATAAACTTCAGATTTGTTGAACATAGGAAAATAACAAGTATACTGAGAAAAATCATCTATAAGAAACTCATAATATTTGTAACATTGAACCGAAGCAATGGGTGAGGGTCCCCAAACATTTGTATGAATTAAAGCTAAAAGTGTACATTGTGTGCTAGTAGAATTAGTAAAAGAAAGGCAACAAATTTTAGACGTACCAAAAAAGATTACAAAGAGAAAAATTAGAAGAAATGCAGATGTGGTTGATGGTTAGCAATAAGATGAAGAACTTATTGATGTGGATGTCCAAGTCTCCGCTGCCACTGTGTAGAGGAGGCAGCCTCGATACTAAGGCATAGTAATTATTGGGGATTCGATAGAGACCATGACTATAAGGACCCTGAAGAGGAAGTTGTTGTGTCTTTCAATCCTTAATTAGTCATTAGCATCAAAGATAATCATGCAGTTATTATCGAGTTCCAATTGAGAGAAAGAAATCAAATTATGAGAAATATGAGTGTGTAATAGCTTGGAAAGTAAGTGCTTACGATGTGGAGTCGGTAAGCTGCCAGTGTCAGAATATTTAATCAGAAATGCATGTCCAATATCAACCATCACTGTCTCATGCCCTTGATATGGTTCAGGTTGATTAGCATGATTGTAATCAGAGGTGAAATGCGTGGTTGCTCCAGTATCAAAGTACCAATCAGATTGATTGGATGGGGATTGGGGAGGACAAGGTAATGTAGGTCGTATGACTGTTAGGTGGTGAAGATGCAATGAAACTCTTGGGTTGATAGTGTATATTCGAACGGTGCTAACAATTAGAAGCTAGATGTCCCTACTTACGACAAATTTGGTATAATACCTGACCTTGAGGTGTAAAAGCTATAGCTGATATTCGGAAGTGGGAATTGCTATTATTACCTAGGCCTTTGGAATATTTGCTCTTTGAATTTGGAGGCATATAAAACCAACTGTGGATCAGGATCAACCGAGGTTGAATGGTGCTCAGTGGAGAGATTGATTTCTTCACTAATAAGAATGGCATACAAGTTATCAAGGCTGCTAGGAGTGGATCGCGTTCATTGGTTGTTTTGAAGGGATTATAGGATGCAGGAAGACCTTTCAAGATATAAAGAATGACGTTTGTAACATTGACTTGAGAGCCAGCAACGGATGTGTTGTCAACAATGGACTTGATTTGCATGAGATACTAAGACATATTGAGGTTATGCATAACTCATTCCGTAGTTGAATAACACGGGAATGATTTGTGCCTTGTAAGCGTTTCTCCAAAGTTGTCCATATTTCATGGCTGGTTCCTAAATTAAAAACACAAGGTAATATAGTGGAGGAAATGGTAAGTACAGATCGCCTGTTTCCCAGGACGAAGTGGCAGGAAGAAGAAGAAGAAGAGGAGGAGGAGAAAAGAATCTTAGAAATCCGTGGGAGGCCGGAGGAAGATGAGCGCAGGAATGACAGGAAAGAGATCTTTATGAGGCCTTCACCAGCTCAGACGCCATGAAATGAAAGCAAAGAAACGAAACAGACGCACCCAGTTTGGAGCGGAAACAAAGAGAGAAATGTTCCATTCACTAATTAAGTAATTATACAGTGCTATATATATAGCAATAGCAAGCTACGCCTAATATAAAATAATAAAGATTAAGTATTAATTAAGCAGTAAACTAATGACTCATATATGACTTCGGTCAGGCTCGCTATTAATAAATACATAGGAATTGTGTTGTATACATGTAAATACACCAAAAATAATGGCCAAATCATGAAAGAGCTAAATTTATACATGTATACATTATTTTTGGTCTATTTACATACATACAACTCAATTCTTATGTATTTATATATTTAACAGCTAAATTTTTACTTTTACATACATATCACTTTACCTGCGCATGAAAAGATGTATTTCATCTTTTAATGATTAAAAAGATAATATTTTTCTGTGACATGAAAGATTTAGACAGTATAAATGTCAAAAAAATAAAGTATAAGTGTCAGATAAGTTAATTCAAAGGAATTTGGTGGTATGTACATGAATGCATCTATCTAATAATAAAATAATTTTATTAAAATAGGTAATTAAAGATTTTTAATAATTTTAAATTATTTATATCTTTTTGCTATGTTGTATTTTTCTTTTATAGTATCAAATTTTATTATCATATGACTGCATTGTTTGTATGGTTCTCAAATATTTACAATAATTATCGTATGTTTTTTCTTAACTCACGCACCAATATATACCAGGCCTTGAACTCAAGGCTAGGCCAAATTACATATCATATTCTTCATCATACAAATATATCATGCAAACATGAAAGCAATCAATAACAAAACATTTTAGTTTCTGGAATCAAAACTCTCAAAGAAGTCCGTTTACGATAACTCTTGGAAACACAATAACATTAGTCTTTTTGTATGCAAGACTAAGTTTACGTATTATCACTTCAGTATCACTGTGTTGTATCGGTTGTACCGAAGCTATACTAAATTTTATAAAGGCGATTAGGTAACTGAGTACAACCGATACAACACAGTTGT